TTACACAAACTAGGACTGGCACCTATTTGAGACACTAATCTTGTAAGTAACTTCCTAAAAAATAAAGAATTACAATTTTAGCTAATCTATCTATATCGATATCTATATCTATGTCTATATAATAATAATAATAGAAGTGCCTGGAAAGGTTTTTCCCCCAAAACTTAGGGGTATTTGTGTAATATCAATTATTTGGACAAAAATGTCATTTAAAATTAAAGTTAATTACACTTTTCTTTCATATGGTAATTTTATGTTAATTTTAACTTGTGTTTAGTTTTCTCTTTTTCTTGTTGTAAAAATACAACTAATGTATAAAAATATATTATTAAAAAGCTCTAATTAAGATATTTTGAATGACATCCATATTGATATATTTTATTTTAAAATTTTAAATAAATCTATAGGTATATAAAGTCATTGCTTTATTTTAATATTTATATACATTAACTCATTAAGCTTTGTCTTTATTAACATATAGAAATAACATTATGAACCTACTATAAAATGAATAGAAATGCATATGATGATGTGCATTTAGTTTAGGATTTTTAGACATTACAACTTATGTTTACAGACATATAGAATAATTATTAGAATAAATTTCACTTTTAGTCGACTGACTATTATACATGAGTCGCATTTGGTCCTTGGCTATTAAAATTTTCTAATTAGGTGTATGGCTGTAATTTTTCGGCCAACTATTGTCGGAAGTGCTCCATCCGAAATAAGTAAATGCATGCAGTGGTCATTCCGGAAGAAGCAAATGCAGCACTTCCAGCAATAGTTAGCTAGGAAATTGGACGACAAGACCAAATGTGATACAAATTACATAGTCATGCAGCTAATTAGAAAATTTTAATAGTCAAGGGCCAAATGTGATTCATGTATTATTGTCAAGGGACCAAAAGTGAAATTTTTTCTAAATATCATTGACATAGTACGTGATGAATGTTATTAAACATGATGCGTCTATAGTAATATTTATATACATTAAACTTTGTTTTAACGAACATTATGAACCTACTATAGAGTGAAGGTAAATACATATGATGTATATTTAGTTTAGTGTTCATGAACTTTAATATGTATGTTTATAGACATATATAACAAATACTAGTATTTCACTATTTCATATGTGCGTTGCGCAAAAATATATGTCAATATTAATACTTAATGTTAAAATATTTTTTTTAAATAATTGTGTGTGTGTGTGTAAATTTGTAGAATTCATATTAATATTAATGTAGTAAGAATGATAGAAATGACATATTACTAAATATAACTATGGTAACATTTAATTAAAATCTAAATAAAATCAAACTTACTATTGAAGAATGTAAGAAAAAGATATTATTTATGCATGTGCATGATAATAACAATGTTAAAAGATAACAGAAGTTATAACGAGATGGACATTTTTGTCCAAAAAATTATATAGTACAACATTTATAGCATAAGGTACAAAAAATTTAACAGAAAAAACGGACATAAAACCAGGGATATAACTTGAATTGAAATTTATTATGTGTTTAGATTATGAGTATAGCACACAATGAATATTACTAAACATGATGCGTTCATAGTATACTGTCTATGAACATTAAGCTTTATTTTTATGAACATATAGAATTGATATTATGAACCAACTATAGATGAATGAAAATGCATATAATGTATATTTAGTTTTGTGTTTATGGACACTAAAGTTTGATTTATGGACATGTAGAACAAATATTATGAACATAGTCTATGATAATATTGTTAAATATGATGTACTAATTGACATTTGATATAAAACAATGTCGTTTTGGACCAGGACCCGCCATGGAAGGTGACCCTGGTCCACCATGGAAGCAACACGCATGACCTGCATTTACTAAAAAAAAAAAAAATATTATCTTAGACACCTTAAACAATACACATAGCATGGGCTTACTAATATTACATTATATTTAGTGTAATAGTTTAGTATATGCAAATTCTAATACTTCTAGGTAGCCAAATACATTATTTGTTTTGTTGACTACATTTATAATTTTAAAATTCAAAATTTATGTCTAGCAAAGTCACTTTGCACTCTAGCTTTTAGATGTCCCTTAGCTTGCTTATAAATACCCACAAATTAGGTTCAGTCTTTGTGATTTTTTTGGTATAATTTTCTTTGTATGCCCATTGTATTTTTGTAGTTTGACAAGTGATGGGTATATGGTCCCTTTTTTAAAAAATTTAATCCCAACACTAAGTCATTATAAAGCAAAATTTGATATTAGGCTCTGTTTGGCAAACCTAGCTGAAAAGTTATAAGCTAGGAGCTGAAAACTGAAGAGTTGTTAAGCTAGCTGTTATGATTGAAAGTGTTTGATAAAATTAGCTTTTTGATAAGTTGATAAATGTGAAAAGACTAAAAATGACATCTTCATAAAATTTAAATTAGTTTGTTTACATATTAAAATTTAACATTTTGTCTTTAAAAAAATTAACATTTTGAAATAAAACTATTAGCATAATCATGATCTAGCATCTCATAATGAAGTAGCAATATTGTTGAGAATCTAATAATAATAATAATAATAATAATAATAATAATAATAATAATAATAATAATAATAATAATAATAATAATAATAATAATAATAATAATAATAATAATAATATTTGCGGTGAAAGTTGCGGATAAAGGAGAAGAGAAAATGGTTTTAATTTGGAAGGGTAAATTATTTCATTTCTTTAAAATAATGAGGATAAAGATGGAAAAAAATTAGGAAGCTAGGAACTTAGTTTGGGAACGTTACCAAACAGAGCTTATAGCTTATTAGTAACTTAAAATAAGCTATAAGCTCCTAAATAAGTTCCCAAACAGAGGCTAGGTACTATACATACTTTATTATAATAAGATATTGTTAGAATATTATATACTCCGTAATATTTTGAGTATTTATTTACATTATTTAAATTTGATAAATAATATAATTATTGAATATATGTTATTATCCATGCATCGCACGGGTACTATACTAGTTCTACAAATTACACAAATTGTAACCAACTTGATTTTTCAATTTCAATTATTGAAGTCGTATCACTTTGAATTTTCTTCCATTCAACTTCTTGATGTTTTCTTCTAGGTAGAATATTTTTCAATTGTGTCTGAAAACTTCAATTGTCAACTATTACAAGGAGCTTATTTATAGTGTAATAGGTCATTGTAACTAGCAACTAACTTACTTCAATGTTGGCACTAACTCCATGATCAGCATTCATTGTGCCTTTGAGATGTGAAGTCATTTCTCCACCACTTGTTTCGAGCTAAAAAAGTGGATGCAGATTCTGACTTAGCATTATCCATTTTTGCATGGCCAATTTTCATTTAATTCTTTAATTCATCATCCATTCTGACTTTGCATTATGCATTTCGCATGGCATGACCATTTTCATTTTAATTCTTTAATCCATCGCATTGCACCATTTAATTCTTGAATCTATCATAGAATTCTCACAACTCATATGTGACAAATCCACACAATTCACTTGTCAAAGAATTAATTTTTTCCAACATTGAGCCAACACAATAATTAAAAAATTCACATTCCCCAAAGCAAGAGCTGACGGTAAACAACCCATGAACAACATCATTCATGTATCTTCAAAGGTTCCAAGGTGGTACACTATACATGTGAGAGTCAGAAAGATGACTTTGGAAGAGACACGAGTGACTCTATGCAGTCTACAAATCCATTTAATTGCACTATGAATTGTCATAGTGTTTTTCTCAAACCCAAAACTTCTTTGCACAATGCCCCAAACCTATTAGAAAAATGGACAAACAAAGAAAAGATAAGAAGAAGATTCATCATTGTGATTACGCAGAGGACATAATCTACTGATATCCAAAAATAAAAGTCTATCCCTAGTGACCAGTGTATCCTTAAGGGATCCAAGCAATAAAAGAATACTTCCTGGGAACAAAATCTTTCCAAATGCGTTTCCAATCAAAGGAGGTTTGGTTGCGAGTGCGCAGAATATCATACACACGGGCAATTGAAAGATCACCATTGGTAGCAAAATTGGACAACACAACAATGCAATCTCTAGCGGAGCTGAATTTAGAGCTTAAGAGATTCCGCACAAATGCAAAGCTCTTTAAAAGAGGAGAGTCCATCTTTTTCGATGCCTAAGTCCAAAGATCTTTATTGGCAAGATGGTACGTGTGGACTGATTTGACTCACCAAGAATCCTTTTTCAAAGGAAGATTCCAAAGGACTTTAGTAAGAAAGGCCAAGTTCTAAATACGAAAGTCATGAATGCCTACACCACCTTCTTGTAAGGGAAGACAGATGGTATCCCAAGCTACTGCTGCCCTCTTCTCAGCTTATAGGAAGTTCCTACAGAGTGAAATCACATGGTCAACCACAGTCCGAGTGATAGGAATTGAAAATTTTGGAGCCAAAACCCAATCATTCACTGGATGACAGATTTTAAAAGCTCAAACCTACCCGCATAAGACAGGGTATGACCTTTCCAGGTGGAGATGTAGGCTGAAATAGACCCAATCAGAGGAGCAAATTAAAAAAAGACTACTTTAAGCCTTTGGGCATCAAGGGGATTACCCAAGTACCTAACAGGGTAGGAAGCCCAGTAAAGGCTAAGCGATTATCATGGATCCCAACCGTGAAAATGTTAGATTTCAAGACATTCATGGAAATGCCATAGGTGGTCTCAAAATCAGCCAATGCCTCCATAAGAGTGGCAACAGAGGGCCCATCCCCTTTAGAAAAAAAAAAACATCAAGTCATCTACAAAAGTCAAGTGGGTAATTTTTAGGCTTTCACACTTGGGGTGGAAGTTAAATGTCTAAGTTCTAACCTTGACCGCAAGAAGTCTAGATAAGTACTCAAGGCAAAGAGTAAAGAGAATGGGAGATAAAGGGTCCCCGGCCTAAGACCACGCTTCTCCTTAAAGTGTCCATGAAAGAAATAAAGTGTCTGTTTGGCATCAAGTTAAAAGTATATTATAAACATAAGAAATTTGTCTATCCCACTATTACGAAGGATAATAACACTATTTATCAATTAAATTTATATATAAACAAACCTATATTTACTAGGTGCATAAAATTGAACAATAGTAAATAGATATATACATGCAGAACGTACAAGATTTACTACAAATGCATCAAGAAAGAAAATTTTCTTTCTGCCAATCAAATACATTCCTTGAAATTAGTACCAAGTTGCTCCCCTTGTGGGAGGTTGTAGGTTCGGGCCTCAGTGGAGGCGGACTTGTAACACCCACGATTTTTACCACATTTTTAAAATTTAAAAGGCAAGAGATAAGCAATCCAATCATCCATTAAGCATTAAGCGGAAGCAAGTCTAAACGGGGGTATTATGCCACATCTTAAAGTACTAAAGATGCACAGGCGGGAAAACTAAACAGTTTAAACAAATCATAAAGACTCAAGGCACATAGGCCGCTCAAAAGGCTCACAGGCCAACAAAACATAACATCTAGACAAGGTGACTAAGCTATCTATCGTTCCAAGTCTAGCGCTCTCGGGCATCTACTCAAAACCTGTAGCACAAGGAAAACATAACATGGGGATAACACCCGGTCAGCGAATATTGCTGGTAACCCATCAATACGCGTTAAATAGCATATATAGATAAGTATAAATCAAAACCATTTTGAAACGGAATACAGTATATATCATTTCAAAAGCCATAGAGAAAAGTCAACTTCAAGGACTCATCAAACGCTCTCAAAAGGAAAAGGAATCCCCATCCTTACAACAACAACAAGACAAGAAACATGAGGAACGATACAACTCAAGATACATTCGACTGATCACAAAGTAGAATACATCAAGACATGCACATAAGCAAAGAATACACATTCACACATTGGCAACTACATGCCACAGTGACAACTACATGTCACAAGTATCATAATTCCAACCTTATGGCTACCCCCGGCCTTATTTCGGTTCCAACCATTACCTCCTAGTGCCACCCTGTACTTCTGAGTCCAACCTTATGCCTCCGAGGACCGTCGTCCCCCCTCCGACTCTCCTACTCACCGCCGAACTCTCAGTACACGAGGGTACCATTAATTTCATTCACACAACCTCCAACATGTGGGCCAAGCTCAGGTAACACATCACCAATTTCAATCATAGTCACACAAGATCATCACCATTACCAAGAGGACTAAGGTTCAACAATAACCTTAATCAAGTATCAATCAAAGGGTACAACGATTACATACGCTCACATCATAGGAATCAATCAATGGATCACAACAAAGACATGAAACCATACTCAACAACGAAGAATCACAATCCAACACCAAATGATTGTCAACACAAGTTGCCAACTCTAATAGGAAGGAACAAACCACACAAACTAGCATTTCAACATCAAACTAGCATGTTTATCAAACGGGTAAACCAAAAGTAGTCCAAAGAACATTCAAGACTCACATTAGCCCAACGAATCACAAGGTTGGACCCTTAGCACGATTCAAGACACCAAATCCTACATGGATTCCTAACATACCGTTCTAGACATACGAAACATCAAGAAGACTCACAAATACCCCAATAAAACAACATTGGGAGGTCAAAATATTAATACCGAGTCAAAAGAATCACGGGTAGGGGTGTAAACGAGCCGAGCCGAGCTCGAGCATGGGTATGCTCGAGCTCGAGCTCGGTAAATGAAGCTATGCTCGAGCTCGAGCATGGGTATGCTCGAGCTCGAGCTCGGTAAATGAAGCTATGCTCGAGCTCGAGCTCGTGCTCGATCGAGCTCGTGACTGGATGCTCGAGCTCGAGCTCGGCAATTATCGAGCTGCTCGAGCTCGGCTCGAGCAGCTCGATTGTTCGAGCTCGAGCTCGAACTCGATCTTGAGCTCGAGTTCGAGCGTGATTTTGAGCTCGAATTCGAGCTCGAGATCAGGCTCAAACTCGAGCTTGAGATCAGGCTCGAGCTCGAGATCAGGCTCGAACTCGAGCTCGAGTTTGAGTTCAAATGCGTGCTCGATTTTAACCTTGAATTTGACGGTTTGACCTGTTTGATTTAAAATTTAAACTACTCTGTTTTATCCATACATAAATAATCCAAACTTCAAATCAAAACAATCAAAATAATTTTGCAACGAAGTAAAAGATAGTGAAGACACAAGTCAATAACATTGTTCAAACTTCAAAACATTCAAAATAAGTTTGCAAATCACAACAAAACACAAGTCAACAGTGTAGTAGTCCTTGATTCCTTGTACATATATATTTCGTCCCGGATATGTTCAAAACAGGAAATATCTGTTCAACTTGCAAAAAAAAAAATGAATAATATTAGATAATAAATGAAATTAATTAAAAATAGTTAAACAAAGATGTTACTTTGTAACTTACTTTCATGAGTTGGATGCCGGAAGAAATATTTCTTGGAATGATTTCTCTTTCTACAAAAAAAAATAAAATAAAAATAAGTATACAATTAAACAAATATTTTTTTAAAAAATAATGTATCTTTTAGCATAAAAGTTAACTTACTTTGTTTTTGGTAACTCCATGTATATGTCTTAGCCAATCACCCCCACAAAGTAAAGCTTGGGCTGTTTCAGGCAACAATGATGCACGATACGAATCAATTACCCTTGTCCCAGCACTAAATGTTGCTTCTGAAGCCACACTGCTAACAGGTATAGCTAAAATATCTGCTGCCATTCGAGACAATATTGGATACTGCAGTCTATGCATCTTCCACTAATCTAAAGAACAAAAGTTGCTTGGAACCTCAGTAGTCTTAAGACGCGCTTTTTCTAGATAGTCTACTAACTCAGAGTTTTTAGGCCCTGAAGTTTCAACTTGGGCACAAATCCCTCAAAATCTTCCCAAGCATATGTAGACTTTTGGCGGCTGACTTGGCTTCTAAAAGTGTTAGAAGAACTTAGATTTTCAGGATTATCTTTGTTCATTGATTCAGCAACATACTCTTCATAAAGAGTATTGATGATCTCCTTCACTTTTGCTATATTCTCCTTAGCTTCCTTATCAGAATAAAGTCTAGGGAAACAGAATTCAACTGCAAGCATTTTCTTTGTTGGATCAAAAACAGCACCTATAGCCATCAACAAATTGCACTCACCCCAATATTTATCAAACTTTTTCTTCATTATTTTAACCAAATCCTTAATAAAGTCATCTTCATCATCTACATGACTATCCAATGTTGATTTGATTTTTTGAACTTCTTGAAGAAACAAATTTGAAGTAGGATACTCAGAACCTGAAATAAATTTGAATTCAGATAATCACAATTCACAAGTCACAACCTTAACTAAATTAAAAAATATATATATTAAAAGAAACAAACCTGAAATAATGTGAGTAGCTGTCCAGAAAGTCTCTAAAATTGAGCAAACTTTGACAACCTTGTCCCAATCATCTTCCAATGGACAACTCTCATAGAAAGGATCACGATCTTTTAGCATCTTGAAAGCTTCTTTGAACTTGAGTGCACAACTTAACATCTCAAAAGTTGAGTTCCATCTAGTTTTACAATCACGAATCAATTTCCTATCTTTCAATTGCAATTGTTGCACACAGTTAGCAAATTGTATACGCCTTGATTCCGACCGGTTCACATATTCCACACTATTTCTAACATCACTAATGATGTTCTGAATCTCATCTAATCCATCTTGAACACACAAGTTCAAGATGTGTGCACAACAACGAACATGAAACAAACGTCCCCCACATACCAAACTTCTTGACCTTTGGAGTGTATCCTTTGCTCGTGTGTTTCTTCATTTTGTTGTGTGTCATGATCATCTGAATGTAATTCTACTCTTTCAACTCCTTCAGATTGTTCATGTGATTGATTAATAGTTTCATTGCTTTCACCAACCACACTATTTAGAGTGTGTGGATTTTGCGGGACAGATGAATTATCGGTAGACATGCTCACATGCCTAATGGAAAACAGTTACGACATCAAGTTATCATACCTCAATTCAACAACAACTAATCCAATATTCTAGTACCTTACTTTCATATATTTAACAAATTAAGAAACTAATATAATAACCATAATGAACTGGATTATATATTTAACAAATTAAGAAACTGGATTATAAAATTATATTGCTGCAAGTAAATGGATTATATCTTCAATAAGAAATAAATAATGAACTAATATATTCAAGGTTCCATGACAAACTAAACTAATATATTTAACAATAATGAACTAATATATTCAAGGTTCCATAACAAACTAAACTAATATATTTAACAAATTAAGAAACTGGAATACTGGATTATATCTTCAATAGTTAATCCCAAGAAACTAAACTGGAATATAGCTAAATTGAATCAATACCATAATGAACTAATATATTCAAAGTTTCAATAACGCAAACGTATGAAATATGAATACCTAGAATTATATCTTCTTTTTATATCAAGGTTCCAATAACGCAAACGTATGAATACCTAGAATTATAGCTTCCTCGCGACGGAAACCCTGGGGGTGGACAGAGTCGACGATGTCCTGGAGCCAAAGTCTGGTCGTGAATCACCGGTGGCAACTGTCGAAGTTTCTTTAGCCAAACACCCTGTCGAATAGAAACTGCCAAAGTCTCTCTTGACAGTCGAAACTCGAAATATAAAATATCAAATTCTGAAGGCGCTAGAATTCTAGGGCTTTTGAGTTTTGAGCTTTGACTTTTAAATTTTAAATATTAATTATTATTTTTATATATTTTAATTATATTATACCATATATTATACGGCTCGCGAGCCGGCTCGACGAGCCACGAGCCTAGAGTATCTAGGCTCGGCTCGTGCTCGTTTATTTGACGAGCCGCTCGAGCTCGGCTCGAGCTCGATTTTGACCGAGCTCGAGCCGAGCGTTGACCGAGCCGCTCGTGAGCGGCTCGCGAGCGGCTCGGCTCATTTACACCCCTAATCACGGGGAACAAACCCCCGCCAACATCCATAGACGTTCCCCGTGGGTGGGGCCACGGGTGGACAACCACCCGCGGTTTCGCCCGCGGCTACATGCCCACGATGAACCGGCGGTGGGTAGGGCCCTGCACACCGTTCCGCCCGCGGGTATCACCCTGTACACCAAAACATCCCTTCGGGATTTTCAACAACAAGTCCAAATTCAAGTCCAAAACACCCAAAATCTCACACACAACAACAATATGACTTGAACCAAAGAAATAGCCAAGCAATGGCATTCAAGAAACCTAAGAACAAGCTCTAAACATGCATCACCACAAGATCATGCATCAAATCACACAAATCAACACATGAATCACAAGTAAAAGCCAAGAATCATCATATAAGTAAGAAAATAGGTTTTGTAAAGCATGAGTTACCTTTGTAGCCTAATAACTGCTTCTTTTCACCCTTAGAAAACCTTTCCTAAAGCTCCTCTTCCACACCAACTTCATACATAAATCAAAAGACAACAAAGATTCTATCTTTAGAAAAAGACACCTAGAAGGAAGTTAAAAACACCAAAAGACCAAGGATCTTACCCTCCCCTATGCTCAAGATGAAGAAAGTAGGAATCTTGGGAGACAACTTGCAAGATTTGGGATACCCAAATCCTAGCTTGGATAAGAAGCTAACTCTTTTTAGAGAGAGGCTAGAGATTTTTGTGTTTAGATTGTAGGGTGAATGAAATGAAAGGGTGTTGCTAGGTTAACTTGAACCACAAACCTTAGGTAGAAAGACATCCCTACCCTTACTAAAGTTGGAAAGACAAGGAAACAATGGCACAACTCAAGAAGCACAAGGTACAACCCTTTGACTTAAGTGACTAGTCAAAATCTAGTCCATCGACTATTGAATTTCAGGATTTTTAGGAATAAATTAACTAAGAGACTAGGATTAATTCTCTAATTAATCCTTGATTAGAGTTTGGATTTACCGGTTGTCACATCCTCTCCCCCTAACAAGAAGCTTCGTCCCCGAAGCTTGGGCACGACGAGTTCAATCAAGCGGGTGGCAACGAATCAACAATGTGACAAAAAGGAAAACAAGAATACCATTTAACCAAAACTTCAAGGATCTAAAAGGTGTAAGGTTTGCAAAGATCAAGAAATTGCAAGGTTTCAAAAGGTCTCAAAAGGAGTTTCTTGAGCACACAAACGCTAAGGCCAAGACAATGACAACTAGAAGCCTTCTATACCACGCCTAAACTCAAAAAACTGGATTCTTACAAAGCAAAACACTAAACTAACTATTCAAACAACAAACTAACAAACAAAGTAAGCAAGAAAAGCAACAAAGCACAGCCAACAAGCAACAACTACAAAACGGCAACAACAAACGAACGAAGAGGTGAGCTTACCCCAACTCCGGGCCTAAGAGGACTCATCCTCCGACTCCTTTGAGTCCTCGTTCGAGTCTTCCCCAGCTCCACCATGGCTAGAACCGGCCTCCAACCAATCCAACCTCTGATTGACGGCGACGAACTGAGTCTTCATGAAAGAGAAGCCTTCCTCGATCATCCGGTTCTGCTGACGAAGAAGGGTCACCACATGCTCCTCGTGTGTCATAGCATCATGTTCCTTTTTGGTTTTCACTTCCTTTCTCCTTATGTTTTCTTCACTTTCGGAGTCGCTCTCTTCGTCCTCTTCGGCTTCTTCTCCTTCCTCTTCCTCTTCTCGCTCTTCTTTGCCTTCGCTCCCAGCATCTCCTTCCAAGCTTTGAACCGCTAGGTTCAACTTCCCAACAGGAATCTCAAGCTCTGCAACCAACGAACTCCTCTCGGCAGGGGCTTTTCTGGCGACCTCTTCAAGAGTGATGTAGTCACCGTCATCTAGCTGAGAAAGGTTGCAGCTGCGGAGATTGATGGCATCCAGCACCATCTTGCCCACCGGCTTAGGCACACAACCTTCAACTCTCACCCCTTTCCTAACGAAGATCCAGCTTAACACCATGCCATAAGGCAAACTCTTGCGGTTATGGTCTCGACAATAGACCATATGTTGTAGCATCAACGAAGGCAAGTTGAACTTCACTTTGTTCTTCAGACAGAAAGCAAACGTGCACTCCAGCTTACCCAGCAAACGACTCTTATTGTTGTTAGGCAACAAGCAGTCAGAAACGAGCATGACCAAAATCTTTTGCTCAGCAGATAACCACTTCCTCTCCGGCCTCGTGGCCTGGGTGAACCCACTAGCTCTTCCCAAAAGATAACTCAGATAATTCTAATAACTCATGTTGCTTGTCTCAATCCAAGAGTCACCACTGTACTGCGAGACTCCCGTAGTTGTCAAACTCAAAAGCTGAGCCAACCGCTTTTCGGTCAAGACAATTTTCATACCTCCCACTTTAGAGGTAACTTCTAACCTTCCACTATCTTTGGTCACACTCATGTGACGGTAGAACTCTTTTACCAAACTCGGGTAAGTCTCGGTCCTAATGGCGAGAAACCCATCCAACAACCCTTGGTAATTCAACAATTCCAACAAAGAACTCGAAAAAGAGTCAGGATCAAAAGTTTTACCTTCCAAAACTAGGTAGTGGGCATCCACCCATTCCACCCTTCTCGCAAAATTAGACCTTCTAGGAATGATTCTGAAATGACCCAAACTTCTTCCTCTTTTTCTTTTCTCTTCTTCGGCTTCTCGGCGAGTCCGTCAGCAGGTCACGGCGGCGGCGGCAACGGCTTCGGGCGGTGGTTGATCGACGACGATAGGAGCAACGACGGGCAGAGGGTGGTGGCGGGGGTTTGGGGTTTTCTCGGCTAGTTCACGGGTAGGAGAAAGAGGGAAGGGTTTTGGGAAATTTTGGGGAAATTTGAGGAAATAGAAGATTTTAATTTGGGGATTTTTGGGGTAAGTTGGAAATTATAGGTTAAAAGGACTTTAGGTGGGATAAGGTTTAAGAAACCTAATTAATCCAAATGGTTTAGAAGTTGGGTTAAAAACTTGGACACTCGGGTTCAAAACTCACTAGTCATTACAAAATAAGTTCTTTTTAACTTTTTTAGACTTAACCACTAGGAATTCTTTAGTAATTGGCTAATCCAATTTTTAAGTGAACGATTTTGACTTGGGTGACACAAAGGAGTGAGGTTTGAACCAAATGTATACACATAAAGCTTCGGAATTAGAACTATCATTAAACCACTCAGAATGAATAATTGAATCACAAAGGGAAACTCACCCGAAAGATACATGAGAATCACACCACAAGAGATAAGGGAATCACCCGAAAGATACATGAGAATCACACCACAAGAGATAAGGGAATCACAAGAAGGCACGCTCTCAAGATAAAGGTAGGCTTAAGAAAGGTTACCTGCGGATTCTTCCTCCACCAAACCCTCAGACTCGGCCTGCGACCGGCCCATCACGAACACTCTGCCCGGAGGCCTTGTGTAACACCCCAGATTTTCAAGATATTTAAAACTTATAAAATAAAGGTGAAATCTCATTAAATCCCAAAACATAATACAAGAGTCCGGGGTGCTATGCCACACCTGAGCTAGAGAACTCAGGTGCACAGGCTAACTATCTAATATCCTTAGCAATGTAAATGCATAAACATGGCACGCAGGCCGGAAGGGAAACTATCTACTTCTACGTTCCAAGTTCTAG